GTAGAAGAAATATATATAAGAAAATTTTAGTATACCCTTGCAAATTTATTCCTTAATATAAAATTTACTAACTTCATTTTAAATAATAAATTCAAAATTCGTTCATTTTATATTAAAATTTTTCCAATTTAATTTTAAAAATAATAAAGTAAAATGAATATAATAAAATTTAATAAATTTTTTAATAAAAATTCATAAAGGAAAAAAATATAATATGTGTGTACCTTAAAATTTTGATTCAATAACCACAAACATTAAGATTACCCCAATTAATTCTTTACACTATATCAAAATCTAATCAATTATTTAAAAACTATATAATACATATAATATAATTATGCACATATAGAACATTGTACTTTAAATATTATTTGTTACTCTTGTATTATTATTCTCATTGTTTTGTTTCTTTTGGTTACTTTAAAACAATTAACTTGTAGTGCACGTGTCATTTTTAGAATCTTTATACTGTCATCACTGTAAATAATGTTCATAATATCCTGTGCATATATGTATATATACACTGTATATTATATTCTGACTTTTGATCTTCTCTACAAAATAGAATCAGCCAGTAGTTGATTATTATATATGCACAAGGATAACAAATTTTTCATTTGGGTACAAGAACACAAAAAAAAAAAAATAAAATAAACAAAAATAATTTTCTTTTACCGAGGGACACGTGTCGATTACACTTAATTGAATCATTTTCAAGAATTTAATACTCTGTGAAAATTGAATGTCGGAAGTTACACCGCACAATCTTATTTTAATTTTTTAATGCATGCAAATAATATATGTATATATAATGTAAGCATATATATTTGTGTTCCCAAAATTGTAGAATGGTAAAGTTCATTTAATATTAAGTCACGAAATGTATGCTCGGTTATATGTAGTAAGAAAGTTGTGTTTATTATTCTTATCATTATTATTTGTTATTGATTTCTATATTATGTAGAAATTGAAAGTATAAAAATAAAAAAGGACAATCATCAGTCAGTCAGCAGGACAATCAATAAATACATGTATAACTTTATAATTATTTAGCTCTATATTTAATATAGTTATGCCTATGGTTTGAATTTTTAATTTATATTCAAATTTTTTGGTTTATTAGTATATTAATATAAGCTAGACGTTATGTAGTACAAATTTTTAATAAAAATTGTTAATATAAAAAAAAAATATTAAGGAATTTTCATTCATTCCCCCTTTTCATTGTTTATTTTTAATTTTTTGCTTTTTTTGCATTTAATGATTCCCTTGCGTACGTTTACCTATAGCATACAATATGCATTTTAAAGTCAATTACATGTTTATTAAAAATTTTGTGGGTGTGAGATTTTAATTTTAATTTTGAATCCTCTAAAAATATATTTATCATTTTTATAAATATTTGTGTATATATGTATATAATTATTTATTAGTGAAAATCGTGATAATTTTAATGTTAATAAGTGAATTTTGAATGCATTTTATTGAGAGAAAAATAAAAAAAAAAACAAAAAAAAATTAAAGGAAACAATTATTAATGAATTTTATCGTTAGTTATTGTATTTGAAAAAGGAGAGTAATTTCCTGTTTTAGGTATAATTGAATAACGCATGGTGGTTTTTTTTTCAATGATGATAAGAAAAAATTATTAAAAATGTGGGAAACTTTCAAATATTGGGGCATCAATATTGTTGAATTAGTTATTTTTGTAAGTTAAATAAAAAGGTGTTCAGTATAGCACAATGTTTACAATTTTAATTTACAATTTTTTTTGGTTATTGTAAAAAAAAAATCTTTACTTTTTTTAAATTTTTAATTAAAATTTAAAGTTACTGAAAGATGTGGTTTAAGGGATGTTTTTTTGCTTTGGAATTGGAATACGTTGTCTCATACGGCTATAATTCAATCGAAGAAGGAAGCTATTAGCAGATACTACGAATAAATTGAAAATAATGATTTCATGAGCCCTAAACTTAGTTTTTGAAAATAACGTTATTGAAGAGCAATAAATAGAGGGAAATTCTTCTTTGCTTCGATGGTTCGGAATTATATTTCAAAGAATATATTTCATTGCTAGAGCCGAAACCAAGACAGTAACGGTAGACAAAATTAATGCATACCATCAAGGGGACGTCTTTTCCCCTTTCCTTTTAATTTGAGACTTAAAAAACTGAAAGGAGAGATTGCTGACTATAGATTGTAGATAACACTGAAGAGAGATATAAGCAAAGGAATGTCTTCCCTACGACCACCGCACTTAGCCATGGCTCATTATAGTCTCTCACATATCACATCATGTCCTACGCGCTATCATGTCAGCAATCACATTACACCAGGACCCCGACACCCAACTGAACGTTGTTTATTTATTAAAGCAGTTTGGATGTAACATGAGCCGATTGGAGCTTTAAAACCGCCACCCTAATGTATGAGAGCACGTACATGGTGCGATTTTAACATCCCCTTTCTAAATTCACTCTCAGACAGATCTCTATTGCATGTATTTCAGCTTGAAATAACGGGAAATACAAGTTTAAGCTTGTGCTTATACACATATAATAGGGAACGATACTATTCGCTCGTTCATGGTGTCCCTTTTTTTTTTGAAAATTCCAAATGGAAATTATGACTTCTGGATGTCGATAGTAATATTCTTGCAATGTTAATGGTGACTAAACTTACTTGGTGGCTGTAACTATTCAATAGGAGGAAATATAACAGTATACAAAATGCTTCTTAAGATTCATTAAATGTTGAATCTTAATACTTGGCATTATTAACCTTGATAACCAACAAAAATTTAATAGTTTTCAATCGCAGTTTAGATAGGACGGAAGTATACCATGTCATTCGGCATAAATATAAAATATTCTCATTTAAAAATTAAATACAGTTTTCAATTTTGTCACCATTAATATTTTAACTAAATACGAATGTGCATTAAAAGGATAGAGGCGTAATATAAAGTTAAGCGAAGGTCATCAATTTATATAATATAAATTGAAATATACACACAATCTAATCTAATTATTTAATTTTTGATACACAATAATAATTTATAAAAATATATTTTTTTTTGATAAAATATAGACTGACAGACTGTGATGATAAGGTAAATTAATATAATTAAAAAAAAATCTTTCTTTATTAATTAGAAAATGTCCATATTTTATCAGCGAATTGTTGGTTATTTTAAATTATAAAATTGATTAGAATAAATATAATGTAGTTAAAATTGACCTTACAAAATATTTCTTATATATAAAGCCTTTAGAAAGATTTGTTTAACCTGTAAACAGGGAATATAATTTGTAAATAAAATAAATGTTTGCTAATTCAAAATTTAATTTGTGATCGGTAGGACGATTAGGAGGGAAACCACCCAATTTCGTTTTAATTTGTTTTGTATTGTATCAAAAAGTCTTACACGAGACGCTCTTTTAACAGTTGTACATTTTGTGAAAACTGTGCGGTAGCGGTTTATAAGTTAGAAAAACTGGGTAAGAATATCAGATGAAATATTTACTAGATCTGTTACTATAAAACGCGCAAAATTAAAACAAAATTAATTTCAAAATTTTTTGAATAAATTTTAAAATTTTATTAATATTTTTCTTTTCTTATTATTTTTTAATTTAATTATATATAATATTTTTATAATATAATTAAGTATATTATAGGTACATTCACAGAATTACACTAAAATTTATTTATATATATTTTTTTTTGTTATATATTTTAAATGTTTAAAAATTTCTAAATAAATTAACTTAATTAAATTTTTTTTTATATTTATATTTAAATTATTAAAAAAAAAATAAAAATTTTATTTTTTTGACTTGTTCATATTTTACATATATTATTAAATGTTTTTACACCATTTTTCAAAATTGATTCAGACTGCTCTGCGGTTCAGTTCAGTCTCAGAGTGTTTGTCATGTTTTTAATTCAATTCAACTGAACTTATGGATCTGAAAATTTATTGAAATTTAACGGTTCTATTCAATTTAAGGGTATATGTAAAAATTAATATGTATAACACTTTAAATGTATAACACTTAAAATGTATAACACTTTAAATGTATATAACACTTAAAACGTATAACACTTTAAATACATAACACTTAAATGTATAACAATTCAAATGTATAACATTAGAATCGTATAACACTTTTACAAATCCGTCAATGTGAAGGAGTAGTTATAGGAAGTGTAGCTACGTACATTTATTCCAAAAGATTAATTATTATTTTTGTATGGAAAATGTAATACCGAATGATTTGGAATTTTAGGTCTTCTCATTGCTAAATTTTCGCAATATATAGCTAAATCATATACTTAAACTGCTTTGATTTTGTAGAATAGTTAAAAAATATATTGCATATTCATTTCGTTATGATTTTATAGTATTGCGTTTTGCAGTTATCTCTTTTGATATGGAATAATGGTTTTTGCTTTTAAAAGTGTTTTTCATTTACAAATTATTCCTCCCTACTTCAAAATTGGCTTAGACTAGATTCCGGTATACTAGTGTTTGAATACCCTTAAAGAAACTTCTCCATAAATTTTATGATATTTTAATGAATAAATCGTAATCTAAGCCTGAACTGATCCTGATACTATTTTTGAATCAATTTTTGTTTCTCTATAAATACTAGTTATTAATATTTTTTTTTTAATTATATAACATTTTTAATATTATATTGAAAATTATATAACAAAACTTTTATTATTTTACATGCTTATACTATTACCAAATTGGAACTTTTTTTTCACATTATTTTATGTATTTAAATTTCAAAAAATTTTTCGAAATATTGTATAGCTAAATTTTACAAAATTTTATATGTACTCTGTATTAAAACGAAAATATTTATGAAAATTATATTATTATAAAAAATATTTACAAAAGAAAAATTATAAGAAAAATTATAAAATTAATTAAAAATTAATAGGAAATTAAAAAATTTTGTTTATAAATTTTTATTTACTTAAAAATAAAAGTGAGAGATTTGAGTTTATATAAGAAAAGATTTCTTGTTTAAAAACAAATTTATTTAAGGTTCATATAGTTGTATATGAAATATGGATTGGGCCAGATAGCTCCTTATTACAACACTTTGTTTGTAAAATGTACGAAAGAGATGCCGATTCTGTATTAGATGCGTAAAGTGTAAATCAAAAATTGCAAATCTCTCTTTCTATTCTTTTAAGATTTTCTATAGAGCTTGCTTGGCTAATATTTTCATATTGACTAATTTGGTTTAACTCAGAATATTTTTATAAATAGTTTGAAAGTATTTCTTTAGTGTTTTTCAATTAAACTCTATTATAAATTATGGCACATTAGAAATGATTTTAAACTAAAATAATTTTTTTAAGAAAAAATTTTAAATCTTTTCTTTTTAACAAAAATCTCATGTATAATATTCACAAATATCCTTAAAAATTAATTATTGCCATATACATACAGATGTATTTATATAATATTATAGGTAATGTTAATGTATTTTTACTATAGTAATCTAAAAAAAAAAAATTTGCATATTTCATAAAAAAAAAAAATTTAAAAAAAAAATTATTTAAATATTTGCTACATATAATATTAAGACCACCATCGACCAGATGGCGGTAATAAACTATGTGGATATTGACTATTTGCTGCTGCTGCTGACATCATTAAATGTGCTGTCTGTGATAATGATGATGATGTTACACTACCATCTGGTAAATCTTTTAAACCATTTTGTGTACCACTTAAACATGGTTTACCATTACGTACTAATACTGGTACAGCAACACGTTTCGGTTGTGATCCATATGTCGCAACATGATGATGATGCATTGCTGCTGCAACAGCTGCATTTTCATATATACCTTTTTCATTTTGTGCACGTTTTGTTTTATATCGATGATTTTGAAACCATATTTTTACTTGTGTTGGCGTTAAACGTATTACACTTGCTAAATGTTCACGTTCCGGTGCCGATAAATAACGTTGTTGACGAAAACGTCTTTCTAATTCATATGTTTGAGCTTTTGTAAATAGAACACGTCGTTTTCGTTTTTTATGTGGTATCGTATCTTGTCCATTTAAACCATTTGCATTATTTAGATTATTTGTATTATCTAAATTATGTTCATCATCATGTTCTAAATCATCATCATCTTCAATTATTTCTTCATCATCATTTAAACTATCATTATGATGGCTTAAATCACCGCCACTATGATTTGATGAACTTTGATTATTTTCATTTAAACTATCTTCACTAATATTAATTGAACCACCGCCAACAATATTATTATTTGTTGTTGGATTAGAATTATTATTATTGTTGTTGTTAGTATTGTAAGAGGAACGATTATTAGCATTTGTAATGACATTTGTAGAATTTTGATTATTATTACTATTATTATTATTATTATTATTATTTTTATTTGTTATATTATTATTATTAATGCCAGTCTTATAATCTGGTAATGATGGTGATGTTTGTGGGCAATTACCAATATGAGTATAAGAAACTTCAGATGTTACTGGTGATGTACTATCTGGGCTAGCTGGTTGTGGTATTCCTGTAATTAAAATAAAATTTATAAAGCAAAAATTAATATTGAATAGAAATAATATAAAAATTTTTTATAATTTAATTATTCAAAAATATATTTTATATGTATATATTTTTTTCCTTTTTGTTCTACTAGAATATTCTGTAGAGATTTTCATTTACTATTGAAATTTTGAGTAGATACACAATACCTATACATATACATTATGTTTAAAAAGAACCTTTATGTATTTTTATAAGTATATACAGACAAAAATTAATGATTAAATCACGCCCAATTCTTAATGCTAAAATATTTCATGGTATATGTATGGATTTGAAATTTTTTTTATATAAAGAGTGAAAAAGGATATTTTAATGTTTCTCTGTGTGCACTTTGTACATGTATTATATTTAAAATATAAGATGTATGATAGTATTTGTGAATCATGGAGTACAAAATATCTTTTGATTTGTGTGTGTGTGTGTGGCTGTGTATTTGAAAAATTTTAAATCAAAATATTTAAAATATAAATGTATTTGTGATATTATTTTTATTGGTGCAGTAAAATAAATAAATAAATTTTTCAACCATCATTAGCTTAATATAAAAATTAAAGTTGATAGATTGGGCTTGTAATTATGATATCATGATTGAAATCTCAATTTTTAATAATATCTAGGCTCTTTGATTATATAAACTAATTTTATATATTTTAAAATTTTAAATTAAACATTTGATTTTATTAAAAACCAACTGGTTTAAAATTATTTTTCATGTCCCTAGAGTTCAATTAGTAATTGATTATTGTGCGGACAAAACTTTCATTAACAATAATGCGAGATCTAACTACAATTTTGCAAAAAAAAGTGCATATGATGTGACGAACAGTATGTAAATTGTACTGGAATTTACACGTTCTAACCTGGGTTGGTCTAACCTTTTTAAATGCTGGCAAACAAATTCTATAAGTTAATCACGCGAATCGACAACTGATTCGTGATATTTCACTATGGTATACTGATTGTAAACATTAAAAAGGCGAACGTATGACACCTCGGCCGATAGTACATCCTTCTTTTCTCAAATTTTATTTTCTAAGGTCTTAATGAAATATAATCAGTTTATATTTCAACTCATTTAAAAGCATTATGAGGAAAATTTATGAAGTATCTTTTTAAAGGTGTTAGCTTAGTAAATTTTAGAAATATCAATGAATAGTTCAATACTTTGAAAAAAACTACGTAAAAATTTCTAGTTTTTTAACAAAAGACGTACAATAAATTCAGTTTTAAATAGTCTTTTTTTTTTAAATATATTATAATATTATAATTTATATTATTGCAATTATGAATGAAAATTTTTAATCCAAAATTTATAGAACACTTTATCATTTTTGAATGTAACTATTCAAATATATTTTTCTAATTTATTGTAATACAAAGAATAGAGAAACTTCCCAGAATCTGTTGATTGCCAAACCTCAAATATTTTTCAAAAAATTGAAGAAAATGTAAAATAAACTAACCGCACACACCCTAAAAAAACACCCCTAAAAGTGTTGTTTTTATTTTTTAGCAAATACATCTTTTATTCTTCAATGAAGGGGAGAAATTTTCCCAAAAAAAGGTATTTTACACATAATAAATAAGTACGAGTAAATTCTAAAACATTTTTTGAATTTTGGATTGAGTATTTCTTTGTCCTTCTAAGAGTCAAAAAAAATTTTCATGTAATTTAAGCATTTAACATGTTTTCTTTGTGTTGCAAAGCAAAAGTTAGTTTAAAATATTGCATATACGTTATTTGTAGTTGCAATTAATATTCAAAACTACTGTGCGCAGCTTAAAACTGCTATTGACAGTTGAAATCGCTTATATAGTTTTGAGTTTTATTATTTTAAATGCTGCTTTTCACAAAAAATAGAAATTAGCAAGAATTGTATTTATCAGTTCGTGGGCTGCCTCCATTGCTATATAGACCGCCTGAAAGCTTTTTCAAAATGCTAACTAAAATAATATTAAAAACGACTATCTGGATATTGTAGGCGTGGGAATACAAGTAAATCATGTTTTGAAACAACTTTGCACTCGTCTCGAAAAAAGGTCGATGACATATGTAATTTATATTGAAACTAGATCCTTGGGATTAATCTTGGACTCTAAGCTAAACTGGATGTCCAATATCCGAGAGCAAGTGAGGAAAGCTACTACTACACTTTACTCGTGAAAGAGTGACATCGGGAATAGGTGCGAGTTTTCAAGCCACTCATGGTTCATTGGCGTTACATCGCCGGGTGGGATGTGTGCTCATGTGCGTCGTTCTGGTGTTTAGGCCTGTGTTGAGCTGATACATCAATTTGAATTTAGGAAGCAAAGTTCATGGGATGGCATTGATGGACATGCAGGGAGAGTTGCGTTATGAACTCTTGAGTTTCTTTTTTACCTTCTTTCAATCTATATTCTGCACAAGCAGATTGCGGCAGAATTGGCTGTGAGTCCGCATCACTTCCGCCCCCATCAAGTCAAACTTGGGGGATGAAGGTAACATATGGGGCGGCTTAAACTGAATAATAGGGTTGAAGGAATGGTCCATTCTAAAGAACTTGGTGTGGATATCTCTTTTTCATCTACGAGACTGTCACTCAGGCGGAGGTGTTTGCAACAAACGAAATTTTAAAATAGCTGGCGGACAATGTGATATTATATTGGCGTAAAAGCATTTTTACGGATAGTGAGGCGTAGATTGCGGAGACGTCCACTTCTACAATGGGGTGTAGGCCATTTCTTTATCAGATGGTGCAATTCTTTGGAATTGATCTGATTTACGCTGCGGATGAAAGTGGAATCCAAGGAAACTGCACGGCGAATGAACTCGCAAGATGTGGAATGGCTTTTGGGGAGTCAATGTCATGTATCTTTTCAAAGTCGCGTCAACCTAACCTAATCTAACCTAATCTAACTCTTTCATTAATATTAATTATTGAAGATTATTGATATTTGTTGTTTATTTTTTGTTGGTATTCAATATCGAATATTATGGGTAGTTAATTTCTCTGAATTTAAAACGAGTATTTTTAAATAATCAAAACTAATTGTTGAACTATTATTTGCAGAAAATTATGTTCTTCCATTATTATATAGTAACAACTACTAGAGTACTTTTATTTAGTGCATAAACACATTACAGTTTTCATAAATAACAATAGTGAACTAAAAATTCGAATAAAATTCGATATGTGTAAGTGTACAGAAAATCCTTAAATTGTTTATATAAATGACTAAATAAAATAAATAAATATTTTCAAATATTTATTATCCTTTCTTTTTTTTCATGACAAATTAATATTTTTGACAGTTTCAAATCAATCAAAATATATATAAATAAATAAAATCATTTAAATTTGTCATTAAATATAGGAAAAAAATCTTCCATAGAACCCCTATAACGAAAGACACAGTAACAAAAATTTTAATCCTTTTTTCCCATTCATTTTCAAAATATGCATACATTTAAATATATACAAGTATGTCCTTAAATTAGAATTAATATTTTTGTGTTTGATTAAAAATCCAGTTTTTCTCATTGTATTTTTATTATTTTTCAATTTTCCTTAAACTATCGTACATACATATATGTGTGTATATGTATCGTATGAATATTTTTTACATACTGAATTAATTTTTGAATTGGGAACAATTCAAAATTTAGAAAGCCAATTCACATTTCAAAGAGTCCCTTGTTTTTTGTATGATTAACCTTTTAAAAATTATAATTATAATAATGATGGTGTCTTTTTATTTTGTTCAAGACAGATGTTATTTAAAGTAGAAAGAATAAAAATTTGTTCATGTATTTGTATGTGTGTATTTGAAAATAATTTTCTAAAATTGCAAAATATCTGTTTTTACAGTTCTATCTGTTTTAAATTTGTTCAGTATAAAATGATAATATTATTAATATTTGATAAAAAAAATAATGATACATAAATATTTTTATACATTAATATTGTGTGTGTGTAGTGTTGAAAGAAAAACATAAATATTTCACAAGGACATTATACAATATCAATTTGTATGTAATTTATAGATATTATAGGTATTTGAAATAATTTGAACATAGAAAATTTAAGCCTCATTCAATGATCAAATAACCAACATAAAACACAATAAATGACAAAAATCAAAATTCTAAAATATCCTACATGCACATCTGCCTCTAATATCTATATGTATGTAAAGTCATATAAGTATGTAACCTAATCCATGTACATAAACTTCACTTATATACAAAAGGTTTGTGTTATTAAAAAAGGCTTCAAAAATAAAAATGGAATCTCAAATTTGCGTGAATTTTTTTTTTAATAATTCTATTCAATTTTGTTTTTTAATAAATAACATGAGAAGGATTTGGATGTCCTTTTTTACGGTACTTTTTTTTTTCATATATCAAAGTATATAAAAAAGTAGGTAGGGGTCGATATAATATCATGTACAAAGTATACAAATATTTTTTTTAATTTTTTAACTGAAGAGTAGTACTTTAATTGTGCGTGAAATAGCAAATCCGATACTTACAGTTATTGAAAAATTACAAGAAAAAATAAAATGACAAATTGCCTGTCACTTACATACATATACACTTAAGTACGGATATAGGTAACTATCTATACGCGACTATTGTAAAATGTTTACAATAGTCGCCATATTGTGATTTATAATTAATTGTGAACGTTGAAGTGAGGTTATGTAGCTCTAGTTATTTTATAGTCATTTTAAGTTTTATTATATATGTATATTTAAAAAAATTAAGATTAATGTAGGCTTACTATTTTCTGTAATTAGTAATTTGATATTTTCTTATTTTAGTACTTTGCTGCGGAAGGAATAGCTGTGAACCGGACATGTCAAATTCAAGTATAAATAAAATAAAATAATTTCAAATTACACTTACCATAATGATCATTTTCTCTCATCCATGCAACTCTTGAAGCTGGATGAAACATTGCATGAGAAAATGGATGATGATATGGTGCTTCATCACCAAATGCAGTTCCTGAATTACCATTAATATTATTTGTTGCTGCCGATAGATATGTTGAATCTGTCGGTGATAAAGTTTGATGTGATGCTGTATGATGATTTGTTCCATTTCCAATATTATTAGATGTTGTTGATAAAACAGTATTTGTATTTAAATTTGTATTACTATTATTATTATGATGATTAAGATGAGAATTTGTTGTATGATTATCACCTGATAATGTTGTATTATGATGATTAACAGTTGTTCCTGTCGATGTTTGATGATGTAAATTCTTTAAACCAGAACCATCTAATTCTAATATATCTGATATTTGAAAACCAGATCTTTGTGAAGGAACTTTTGGTTCAAATAAACTGTAAGTAGTAAGAATTAAAGAAAAATATGTAATAATTGTTTTTTTATTTTAAATTTTGAAAAATCTATGAAAATCTAATATTTATTTTTAATTTAAATACGCTTCAAATAAAAGTTAGAATCATTAAATTATGAATTAGGTTTTAACATGTTTGATATCAAATATGTTTGATTTAAATTCAACATGTTTAATTTATTTCCTTTTTTAGTTTGAAATAATTGTGGTAAACATTAGGTTAATTTTGAAGAAATTCTATATAAAATGGCATTTTAAATTAGATCGTTTATAAAATGTTCCATTAAGACAATTGAAATAGAAGAATCTACTTGAATAATTACATTATTTCTGCTTTCATACAATTGTTTCAAACGTTTTGTATGATTTCACTATTACAACCGCTCTCTTCAAGATCCTCAGATTTTTTTTTCAAAGTTGTTTTTAAAAATTTATTCTATTTACTCTTTTAAATTTTCTCGGTAATTTCTAAATGTCCACAGGACACAAAGTAAATAAAACGCTCTTTTATTTAATGTATAAAAAGACTAAGTCTTTAAGTATTATTTATGATTAGATTTAATTTAAAAAAATTGTTCTACATTTTTTTCAAAGGCAAACAATTAAAAAAAAAATCAAAACGGACGTAAAAGTCATTTTAAAAGACTCATACATACTTATACACAATATACTACTTTTTTTTAGCTTTTGTTTCCATATTTTTCATTTATGTAAGTATATTGAAAATTTATGACCGGAAATTCCGAAAACGATTAAACTGCAAAATACCTTTTATAAATTTTCGAATATAATAGAGATATTGAAAGAAAATAAAAAAGAAAAAATATATTATGTATATGTATGTCCTTAAAAAAAGAAGATTTAAAATGAAATTTTCAAAAGAATGAATTTAGAATCCAAAAGAATAGATTGACCACCTTAGTGGTGAACCTGTAATTTTTTTAATTCTTATGCATAAGAAGATACGATTTTAATTAATTTAAATATACGTGTATATTTACAGATGTTTAAAATACAAAAAAGGATGAAAACGATAGAAAACTTAAGTAAAAATGCTATTACTTCCGGACTGTACTGTAAAAGCAGCAAATCCACAATTTTTAATTAGCAAACTAATCGTATAGATGTACAAATGGAACAACATTTACCGTGATAAACGAAATATGGCCAAGACTAGAATTGTTTTATACAAGGATTTTAACGAGCATTGAATATAATTAAATATGATGGTTTACAATGGCAATAGTTTACAGCGAAGTATCTTGCCAAGCACTTTAACAGGTACTGAATATTGATATTTGACAAATGGAAAATTTAATGGAGTTACAAAAGCTCATCGTCAATATAAAGAAGTCTAAGAAATAAGTGTTCTTTCAATAAAAATCGACAGATATTAATATAAGTTTCTCGTACAGTAACAGAAAATTAGACACATTGGTGCAATATAAATATTTTGGAGTTGTATTTGACAAAAATCTTACATGGAAACCATATATAAACGAATAATTGAAGAAAGCCAGGATAATTTCAGACATACTTTATGGTATTAATAAAAAGGTTTGCTTGTACCTAAAAGATTCTGTATATTATTCTATCTATAGCACTATCACATATGTTATGCAAACATGGGGAAACACTTAAAAAAATCTTTGTTTGTTTCAGATAGCTCAAAACAAAGCTATAAAAAATCTGTATGGTTACGAGAGATGAACTTCTACATTGGATATGTACAGCAATTTTAAAATATTAATGTTAAATATACAATTATAAAATGGAATTTTTGGGATTCTGTCTCTCTTCTGACTAATGGAGTTAAGTCGAACCACTCTGGATAAGGTGAAACAAAGGGAATACAAAATTATCGGAATTAAAATTAAAGAATTTGTCATTTAAAATTTTAAAAATGTTAATTTTAATCAGATTATGACAATTAACATTTTAAAAATATAATGAAAATTTCAAATAATTTTCGGAATTTAAAATAATTCGCACACATCACATACATACATAGAATATGAAGGATGATTATGAGAAGGCAAACTGGCAAACTACCGACTGTAATATTCTTGTTTATTGTTTAAGTAACTAAATCTTGTTTATGGTAAAATAAACTTTTAATCTTACCATTTCAATACTAAAAGATTTATTAGAAAAAGAAAAGCAAGATTAACTAAAATCTGAATCCTTTTTAAAATTGTAAAATAAATGGTTTGCTATTTTATTTAATTGCTAAATATTTTTTTACTGCTTACATGTGAATATTTTTTTTGTCAAAGTAGCAACGTTAACTAATTTTAACCTGTTAAAAAAAAATATTTCATTTGAAAATTTTTATAAAAGTGTTAAGGATTTTTGAAAACATTGGAAAAAAAAACACAAATTTCCATATGTAGAGAGTAGCATGTTAAGAAAAATTTAATTGTTTTCATTTTGGAAATACCAAAATAAATATAAAATCGCGTTTAAAAATATACTAAAGTTGAGATTATTTTTGAGCTTCTTCTTGCATATATTAAAATTTTTATTATATTATGTGAATAAGAAAAGAATTTTATTCATATAATATAATAAAAGGTATAAGATGCATGCCATTCCTTAACTAAAAATTTGAATTTTATATATTTATAACATGAGAAGTTTTAGATTTTAGGGATCACATTATATGATAGTAGTCTTTGTAAAATAATTTACTAACATATTATAAAAATAATATGAAAAAATTTATTAAGGTACTTATTTTACCTGTTACTTTTCTATATATGTAATACCACTTAAATTGAACATATGTTGAAATTTTTCTATTGTTCTTTTAATTGACAATATTTTTGAAGAAAATTTCGGGATTTCCATTTTTTTTTCTTTTTCTGCTTACAAATATAGTTTTCAACTATAAAAGAATCTTGCGGCGACCTGTTTTCAAATGGTGTTATAAATTTATTTGTTCATTTATTGAGTTAACAATTAATAATAATCTAAAAAATAGCTATGGTGTCTTAATGTCTTCTCTTCTATATGAGTCAGTTTTAATTATAAAATTGATTAATTGTCTTAATTAAAATCGATTAATTGGATTGATCGTAATGGAAGTAAATAGACAAAATTTTAAATCTATAAAGCCGAAAATTTATGTACCTTTTTACTAACTAAATAAATTTGTTGAGGCTTTAATTTTGTAGAACAGTTCGCCTATGTATTCTTATGATATTATAAGATTGACATGACCAACTTTTTCTCTCCTCGTTTTGTAATCTTAATACTTACGAAACTGCATTCGTATTTCATGAAGTTTAAGAGATTTTCTATAGCATACTATGCCATTACTTAAGGCATTCTTTATAAAAAAAACCTAGTGTGTATAATTTATTCCATATTTATGTACATGTGAATCTAGAATATGTTTGAAATGAACCTACACGTTTTAATACGTATAGTACCCGAATTTTTTTTTTATTTTTTTTTTTGGCACCAATTTGTCTGGCAGGTTCAGGTCTATATTAGTATATTATAATTATCTTCAAGTATTGCTATGGTTTTTTATTAGACAAGTATGAAGATTGACACACTAACACAAACGTGTGCGCATTGCACTTGAATATACAAACTAAATTTTAACTAAAAATATATTTTTTTTTTTACCTGTTTTCGTTACCTTAAAGATTATGAATTTCATTTTGAAAATTGTAAACAATAAAATTCAGGATGTGAGGTCAATGTAAAAGAAAATGATGACTTATTGTAAGATATTAGAAAAAAAATAAAATATTTTTGTAGTATTTTAAATAAAATGTACACAGACACTGAATTATATGTATATGTACATGCTTAACAATAAAATACCGACACCGGATGGGATTTCCCGTGCTAAAAATCAAAAGAAATACATCTGGCCGATTGTATTTTAAAAATCCTTAACATTTATATTTTAATAAGGTGTATTTTTATAGTTAAATTGTATATTGTAAATATATTTAGGTAGGTTTTAAAAAGGAAAATAATATTTTAAGAGTTGTATTTAATTTGGAGAGTTTCTTATAGTTTAAGTGTTATGAAAATGTAGTTTTTATTATTATTGCGCATGTTATTTTTATTAATTTGTGCATTTTTAATTTGTAAAATACAATTATTTTACCTGTGTATATATGCATAAAGTTTTTATGTTACTTATTATTGTTATTAAAATGTTCTTAATTATTATTATTATTATTTTAGGTCCAGTTCATTGTCATTTTAAATTCAACTTACAAGGAACGTTGTAGTAAGAACAAATATGACAGAGAATTTAATACGTTAAATGCAGAATATCTCTAAAGGATTGAAAAATCTTTTAAATTCATCAACGAAATAAACATATATGTAAATATCATATTTTACTTTTTAAAATCTTCCTTTTTTCCTTTAGTGTTTCAAGCCCATATTTTAGATTTTAGATCAAAACTGTTGCTTTATTATAACAAATATAAATCAAATTAACTCAAATGTTTAAAAACTATATCCAAGAAAAATTTCATCAACCTAATTATTTTTGATATAAAATGAATAAATTTTCCATATACATATATGTGCATGACTATTTTCACCATTCTATTATATAACCATATTATGCACACCTTTTTCCTGAGCAGTCAACATAAATTAAGATAAATTAAATATCGATTAGATTAAAAGCATATAAAATGAAAATAAAAAATGTTTTTGATTTTATTATTTATGGTTTACATATATGTATATATAATTTATTTACACACATAAAATATACACTATTCGTAAAATACGAGTAATACGCTATCAAGATAATGTAAAGTTTATTTCAACAGTTATATAACATGCACTTGTACAAAATTTATACTTTATGTGATGTGCTATACACAAGCTTAATGCCTGAATCAAACTATAATAAATAACTCCAAAAAACAAAAAAATAATAAAATCAAAAATTCTCCAAAAATAAAAAGCATGTAAGTAGCTATATAGTCATAAAATACAAAATTTGGATAAACAAAAAATTTGAAGTGAAAATTTTTGATTTCATAGTTTGTTATTTATAGACATTATAATGATTGCTAACAGGTCCGGCTTTAGAATTGTTATACGACAAAAAATTAAATTTATTTATCTAAATACAAACTAATCTGCAATTGATTTTGTTCGGAAATTAAAATTTTTTAATTGAATGAGTCTAGTTAACTTACGATGTTCGATTTGTGAAACGCAGCCTGTTATGCTACCTAAAATATTACGTATATTAGGTCGTCTACGAAATTGAAATCTAACGTTAATGTTTTATTTGGGAAAATAATGTATATTAGTTTGCATCTAGGAAAAATGCCCTAAAATTTTTGTGTGCTCGTTATGGTTAAGAATTGAAAATTTGAAATAATCTTAAAAATTATTGAAAATCGTTTGTGACAATATTATGTATTAGGCTGTACGTTATTGAATATGCTTTACAAAATTCGATTAAGATCTAATTCTGAAGCTTTTCGAGCTTTTTTTATCCCGATATTAAGAAATTTCTTCTCCATAGACATAAAACATAATATGTAGTTAAAAATTGCTATAATAAAAAATTTCTGTTCCATGGGCATTAAATGATGTAATTTCAACTCTGATCATTTAGATTTATAACGCGTTATACAATAATAAATAATAAAAATTCTATATTTTTATAATAAAATTTTCATTAAAAAATCAGCGATTAAGTAATTAGCTTTTATATAGTTAATGGTTCGAATTTCCGGCTTTGAGTAAAAGAAAAGCAAAATTAAAGAAAAACAAAAAAAAAATGCACAAGCAAGAGGGAAACGAAAAATGGTTTAGTTTGGTTATCATGAAATGAATGAATTTTATATGATAATTAAGTGAAGAAGACGAGTCGTGTAAATTGCTAAAAAGGATTTTCAGGAAGGGAAATATAATAATAACAATAAAAGGAAAAATAAATTTTTATTTTGTGAAAATTTCTAGCTGTGAGCAGCTGCTAATTTTTATTTTTGCTTAATTCTTGCTTACTTGTTCTGACTATGCCAACTCTATTTATTTATTTTTGATATTATACTATATGCATTGGTATATTAGGTTTTATACAGTATATATATGTATATAGTAATTAAATTTTGAGCATTTAAAGTGGTATAATAGCTTAATTTAACTGAACTATAGTAGTACACGTACTCATATTTTATATATATTAATTTGGGTGGGGGGGATTTTTTCTCTGTTTTGATCAAAGATGATTGGAGGGTGCCAAAAAATCATCCCTTTTGTTCTGCTTAAATTCTGTTAGCTTTTCCTTGATATTTTTTTTTTTTTGGTAGTATTTAATATTTTTATTATTATTTATGAAAATGATTTTATAAAAGCAGGAAAAGTAGGACATTTTTATTACCCATCAGTATTTTTTTTTTTTTGTTTCTTTCAAAGTTACTATGGAAAGAGTTTTTAAAATAAGTGTGGTTGTATTTAATACCACTTTAGTTGAATATTATTATGATAGTGTATTAAGAATATTATGATTTTATTCAAAAGTTAATTATAAAAGAATTGAAGTACAACGAAAAAAAGAATCAAAAAAAGAAGAAGAACTAAAATGCGTGTTGAAAAGTTGTGAAAGGATGAACTTAGAACTATGTTAAAAAGGAATAATAATAATATTTTATTTTATATATGTAAAAAATTACACAGAAAGTTCAATAAATTTTAAAACTGTTACCATAAAATATGAGTATAAACAAAAGTATAAGATTATAGAAATGTCCGAAATAAGTTTAGCTTCAAAATTAAGATATTTTTTAATTTAACAATTAAACATTTGACTTAAATTACAACATTATTTTCTTATTTTAGCAAAAATTTGCATGAGAATCGAATGTAAATCAGAAAACTCTATCTAATCTGAGGATTTTATAATAATTAATTTTTCAATGGCTTTTCAAATGTTTTCAAAAGTTATATTGGTCAATACAAACCTAGCAGTTTTTAAAGCCTATTTCATATTTTTTAAGTTTCGATTTTAGTACCAAGGATCTATTAAAATCACTTTGTATTTCCATTTTAGTAACTATGAATATCATATGTTTTTTTTTTGAATAATAAAATATTTCAAGAATTGATATTGTATAAAATAATTGCACTGTATAAAATAATGAAATGAACTCAATTAATATATCAATATTATAAAGCAATCATATATAATAATTATGAGGGTGGTTAAGTGGTATATATATATATATATAACTAATTTTTAATAGATCAGTTGGTTCAATAATTTATTGACATATATCATGTGAATTAATTTATATTTGTTCCCATATTTTGAATTCTAATCGAATTGTTGATTTCATTTCCGAAATTTTTGATAAAATTAAATTATTTTATTTATGCATGTTTCTTATATTATAGTAAATTTTTTTTATTAATTTGCGTTTTTATGAAAATTGATGTTTATTTTATTGTTTTGAACTAAAAATTTCGAGGATATGCGTATAAGTTTTTAAAATATAGTTTATGATTTAGAAAAAATTTTATTAATTCCACATTATAATAATTATTTCAATTAATAAGAATCTGGATTATCATTTTAGAAGTCCAAAATCAATTTGATGTAAAATTTTTTATTTGAACAGTAATATGCCGCCGTAGTAACGTGTTTAAGTATTATAAAACTATTTTATTTGTAGAACAGGAACTATTAGTAACTATTTAATTCGTAGCTTTTTATTTTACATATATATATTTGTTTAAATTAAATATTTTTTAAAATGAATACAAAATTTTATTAATAATATCAATAAAATTATTGCGCACAAACTATTAATACGATATTTTATCTATGCACATTTAAAGTAATTTTTAACTCTTAAATTTTATCATGCTGTCTAAGAAGTTACAAAAGATTAATAATTTTGGTTTCCTTTAATATTCTAAACTAGAATTTCTATCTCTAAAAAGTCTACATTAAAGTAACAATATAAAATATTATTTAAAATTCAAATTGTATTTAAAATATTCTTTTATGATTTTGTACCCAATGTCTTAATATAACACAATTTTTATATGATATTTTATGTGATATAATTATAACAATTACATAATAATTTAGGGCTTAATTAAATTATATCAAAATTTTTATTATATATTTATTATATTGAGTGTACTTATTAATGGATTATAATATTATTTAATATTTGCGTGATAAAATATAAGGCATAATTAATATTTGTGTAAATAAATTAATTTATGTATAAGTAATAAAATATTTAGTGACATAAAACCTTTGTAGGTAAGTGTTATAAATTAAATAATTTAACAAGAGTAGGTATTACTACTGTTCAGTTGTTTTTTTTTTGTATTATTTATTGGTATCTTATATAATTTTTGATAAGTTGGTGGTCTTAAATTTAAATATAGAAAATCCCAAACCATTCAAACCATTTAGTAGAATTTTGTAATTTTCAGTTTTGATAAAACTAAAATTTAAAATGTTTTTAAACATTTTATAATCAAATTCTGAATAAATTTATATTCACATAATAAATGAATGTACATATTACATGCTTGTGAATAAACACTCTCAATAACCTGTTTTGTTTTTTTGTAGAATCTTACCCAGGTAAAGCATTCCTTAATGCAGCAGATGGATAAAATGCCGCTGGTAATAATGCTGGACCCCATGGCGGTAATAATATTGGCCATGTTAAAAATGGTGCTGCAGTTGAACCCATTAAACTACCCATTGTATGACCAACAGTTGCATTTAATGGTAATTCATCAGCTATTGTCGGCGGTGACGACGATGATGCCGATGAACAACGTTTACGTTTTTCAGCCACGTTGAGATTTTTCATGTAAAGTGTTTTTTTTTTCTTTTCTTTTGTTAAATATTTTTATTGTTTAGTTTAAATTTATAAAAAAAAATTCTATTCTTTTATTTAAATTAAATTAGATTTCAGTTAATTTTAATTCATATTTTATAATATTTTTCTATACGTACACTAAGTATTCAAAATTTAATTTTTATTTTAATTCCAATCTGTTTAATTAAAATTTTATTAATTTATAAGTATATTTTTTATATCTTCTGCTTTTTTTGTGTTTAGAAATTGTAATCCATATATGTATGTATAAATGACAATAATTATAGTATAGTGTAATTAGAATAAGAAAATCCTTTAAATTTTAAATGCACAATTAATTTTTCAACTATACTCAGGTAATTAAAATTAATCTTTATATTTTATGTTTTTTTTATATTATTATTATTATTATCGTTATATTTTAAGATTTTAAGCGTTAACAAACTTGTTAGGTAAATGATATAATTTTAAATGTGAAGTAATTTTCATAAAGGATATTCAACATGAAAATTCAAATAAAGTTTTATATCCATAAAATACATTCATATATTATACATTAAACGATATATATAGTTATATTAATGTATAACATAATATAACTATATAAAAATTTTTACAAGGATAACGAACAAAATTATTATTGAAAAAAAAGGATGCTTTTCAACGATTTGAAGTACCGTCATCAACTAAAACTGTTAGTCGATAAGTGGCCTTCTCTCACTTCCTATAAAACCTTAAAAATTATATTCTATATATGAGTATATTTGTTTGTTGTTTTATTATTTGATTTTTACAGTATTTTTTTTTTTATTATTTTTCTATATATATTATTTTTGGACTATTGTTATAAAAAGCCTGACAAGCGCATGTTAACTTTTATATTTTTAAAAATATATACAGTATAATAAGAAATAAACAACATTATAACAAGAAAAACAAAAAAAAAATAAATAAATATACTTGATATACTTGTGTATATTGTTATATAATAGAAATTCTAAAGTATAAACCCTCGCCATTTACAAAAAAAAAGCAATAAAAAAAACAAAAAGATAATGTATTTGTGTGATAGTATCCTCTTGTATTTTGAAGAAGGAATCCTCAATGGTTCTTCCTTCATGATATATAATGTGCTCTCATATTAATATAAAAAATTCGTATAAATACTTATATACATATAGGCACAATGCTTATATTTTAAGTGAAAAAGAAAAAAAAGAAAAAAATTGATAGAATTAATAGTATAGTTGAATATAAAAACTACTCGTTGTATCAAAATTATTATATTGATACACTTAAAAAAATTTCTTAAATTTTAAAAAATTAAGTTGATCTTTAATTATATTTTTAGTTTGTGCAACAAGATACGCAAGCCACCATCAGTTTGGACAAGAGATTGTGAGGAGATTATCAAAAGGTATATCTATGACAGCAACTCTACCTCCTGCGATGACGATAAAAAAATCAAAGCGATATGGAATAGTTAGCGCTTACACTCTGCGATAAGGGTCACACATCATAAAATTATGCGTGGCGAGTCGAGGATCGCTAAATTTGAGATATATAAGAACCCACCTCACGACATCTAAGCGCTTATGAACACAACCTTTAAAAGAAAATAGGAACAACGACTAAAATCAGCTTAAGATATTAGCGAGTCCTGGATGGAGTATTATCGGCGGTTCAGAGGACACTTGCTGAAATATGATTTGGATGTCACAGGCACTTTCAGATTTAAAGCAGTTTTTCGGGAGTGTACTTCGGTATACTCTCTCGGGAGATATGAAGCTTTTATCAAACAGATAAGGATATTTTTGAGAATCAATTTACGCAAAACATTCGAGCTTATTAGGAGAATACGTCTGAAGTTGGTAATTGTTATTTACCTATAATACATATTTAAACTAATTCCCGTATATTTTTTAGGATTAAGTTACATATAGCCTGCAAATAGTGCAAAACTCACGTTTTCTTTACAACAGCGCTACAACTGTTATACTACTAATGAGACTATGAGTATTGTAATAATATTTTTAATAACTAAGGTTAGTTAAGTAAATAAGTATATTTAAGTTAATTGGCATTTGCCTTACCGTTAAACACATAAAATTTTATATTATCAAATTTTTTTTTCTCAGTGTAGAATACTTTACACAAATTCTTCCTATCTACTATATATTCAAGTGTAGTACTTTTGATATGCTCTCTAACATTGCTCTCTAACTATTGAAAATCATCAACCAAACCCCTTTTATAAAATAATTTTGTGAGAGTTTCAATAAGGATACTCTACTATATTTAAAAAGGATATTTGTTTTTATGAGCATACTATATAATATGTATATGAATAAATGTGTTTATATATGATTGTATATATGTTGATATAAATCAGTATATATTATTATGTTTGAAGTGTAGAAAATTCCTTTTGATTGTAGTAGAATAATATGATGATAGGTATAGTAATGAATATGAGAGGTACCTATAAGGATTTATGATAATAACATAACTTTTATGTAGCTATATGAGAGGAAAACAAAAAATCAAACTAGAATAATAATAATAACAATAATAATAATAACAATATAAATAGAATATTAAAGAAAACCAATAGAAAACTCGTCTTTTAAATGCGATTGGATTGGTGCAAATGCGCATCCAAGAATTTGAACAAGTATACAAATACATATAAATTTGTCTGTATTTGTGCATAAATATTATAAATAATTTAAATAAAATACATCTATTTGAGCTCTTATACATTTTTAACATTTTTATGTGAGTATATGTTGAAGAGGTATATATTGTGTATAACAAGATTATGAAAAGGATAACAAGGATTCCTTTGAAAATTTTGTTTTTTTTTGTGCAATGTTTTACTTTTCAAAATCCTTTAAAAAAATTATGATATTGAGCTCATATATATAAAATAAATAGGGTATGGGGTGTAGGGTAAATGCTCAAATTAAAAAAAAAGGATCAATGTAAGCACAAAAAACATTTTTTTTTAATTATATTTTTATCATGTAAAGTAAACACAATTTATTTTTATATATTTTTAGTATAAAAGAAATAGAAATCTGTGCTTTATAATGAAAAAAGGTTGTAGTGATAAGTTTATTTAAGATATTTTTATTGAAAATTATAATCGGAATTATAAAAGTTATTTTTATCTTTATTAAATATGTCTGTTAAATTTAGGCTTACACTGTTGTAAATTAATTAAAGATTCGATATTAATGTAAAACATATACTGCTTGCATTAAAAATGTGTTTGCAGTAATATCAAACTTGTTGTTGAGTTTCAACAACTTGCTTAAACGTACGTACATATATATGTGTTACCTTAGTAATTGAAAGCATAATAAAAATAGATATAAATATATTTTTAAAGAAATTTTTTAAAGTAGAAAGGCTTAGCAACCCTTTTAGATTAATCAAAATTTTGGAGCAATACGAAAAATGTAGGAAAATCATTTTTATAAAAATATTCCACATTCCAGAAAGATAAGCAAAAATTAAAATTTCTTCAACTATAAGATCATAAACGATTGAATTTTAGTATGGTAAATTGATGTTTCATGATTCTTAGTCCAATATCGGGTTCAAATAATATGATATCGTTAGGATATATATATGCACTGCATATGAACATGTATCGTATAAAATATAATATCGCTATATTTTTCATTAGCTTGTTTTTTTTTTTTTGCTATTCAAGTGTTTCCTCTTATATTAAAAACGATTTTTATATATTGAAGTACTACTATATTAGTAAATATGTGATATTAAAAATGTTTTATACAAAAATCATATATTTAATAATAGTTACCTTAATAATAATGATAATAAGAATAAGCAATATATACAAAAACTTTATAAGAAAAATATACAAAGAAACAAGATAAATATGAAAAGCATAAAGGAATTTTCTTTTATAGATTTAGAAGAAAGGAATGAAAACCTTTTGTTAACGCCTACTTTTTCAACCCTCTTTTCAATTATCGATATACTCTTGTTTCTTATTGTTGTATCAATTTATACAATAGACTTATATAAGTGTAACAGGGCACAAACATTTTTAAATATGAAAATGGTTAGAAAATATATTTAAGCATTAAATAATGCAGTTTGTATATTAATATACTTCTATAACTTCTTATGTTCACACTTACTTATCAACATATATATGTAATTTTCTTTTCTTCTTACTAAAATTTTGTTATATTTTTCCATTTATTTTTTGTTCTATAGATTCTCGTAAAATTTATGTAAGAATTTTACTAATACAAAAATGATTCTATTTTCTCCTCTACACGCTTAGATTACTATAGGTATACTCAGTATTTCAGTATATAATACTAATACAGTATCATATAAGAAAAATTGCATATATTATAATATGATAAGAGTAAATATTTGTTATTATGTATAAATATATAACTTAAGAATCAGAAAAAGTAAGATAAAAGAAAAGAATAAGAATATCTTATTGTATGTATATGTATGTACTTTTTTCAATGATTTAAATTCTGCTCCAATAAACTTTATATGATAAGTTCTCCTTAATAATAACAATGGCGATGGAATCAAATAACATTCATGTTAAATAGCATTTTTTATTATCTTTTTTATATTATTATCTTTTTAATATTTTGATTAAAACTAATTTTTATCATATTGTTATTTTGTTTCTGTTATATATTTAAAACAATGGGAGAATAATAGAAGTGTGCATGTAATATGAGTTCAATAGAAAAAGAAATAATAAAATGCTAGTAATTATTATAAAAAAAAAATGGAATAGTAAATAAATTACCTAGTATATAATATAGATATAGTTTTATATGCGTACTTATATATTATATACTTATTTAATAAAATATTAAATAGAAGTATTTTCTTATCGCAATCATATCGCATATACTTGAATAAACTTAGCAATTTTAGATAATATACAAAAGTATACATATAATACGTAAGATATTAAGGTTTATATATATGTATATATTATGCAAGCATATGGGATTGTAAATAATGTATAGTTGAATTAAACTATATTGTAGTTACATAATCATTATGTGTTCATATATTTAGCTT